GGTGGTGATGGAGATGGGGATGGTGCACTCACACCTGTGTGGCTGTGGCATGGATGCCCCCATGGTTGACGAGGGTCCAGTAGCCCCCGGTGCTGGAATAGAAGGTGCACTTCTTTGTCTCCTGGTCAATTTGCATCAGGAAGGTCTCATGATGCAGTTCTTCGTCTTGGTTGGCTGAGACGTTGACCCCTGGAGGGAGGATATGGGAAGCCCCTCGCGCCTCTCCCTGGGTGGGGGGTGGGGAGCAGAAAGATGGGGAAAAGCATGCTCTTGGGAAAATCCTGAAGGCAGAGGGGTTCTCATCTAGAACCCTTTGGAGTTAAGATTTGGAAGGCACTTCTCAGAGGGTAGGAGGCGGTGCCCATGGCCACGTGGGAACACTGCAGACCCCTACATCCAGTTCCCTAAAGTTCCTTGGCCTAGCTCCTACCACAGCCCCAGGAGCCAGACCTTCCGTGCCAGCAAATCCCTTGCCTCTGCTAATCATCAGGTAATCTGCTTGCTGCTGCCCTTTCGACCCAGGACTTACACCAGCCTCTATTTATAACTTAATCCTAAACCACTGGGTGGGCACAGTGGGGTCCTTCTTCTTCCCCAAGCCATGGCCCAGGGCACAGCTGGGGCCTGGGGTCCAATCCTGGGCACAGAGTAGAGGCCGATCCACTGTTCCCTCCCCAGCCCCCTTTTCACGTGTGTGGTCTCCTGGGAGTCCTGAGGGAGGGCAAGGCTGTCTGGGGCTCTGCCTGGGGTTCCTGGAAGGGGGGAACTGGGGGCATCCATGCCCAGGGTGGGGAGCAGGGGGCAGGCACTGGCATCTCTCTAGTATCTTCCCATAAACCACGCTCCTGTTTCCAGTGATGTGGCAGATCACAGAGCTCCCCGAAGAGGCCAGGCTCCAGCATGTCCAGCTGGTGGAGCGGGAGGAAATGGGGGCCTGAGGGTCGGGGCCAGATCCTGTCCAGCCCCGTCCCCAGGAAGGTAGGGTGGGCACCAGGAGGGCCTATGCTGGAGAGGGTGAAACCTGCCGTCCTTTACCAGCTCCCAAGGCTGCTCCCTCCAAAGCTGCCCAGATAGGGATCTGTGTTCCTTCTTGCATAAATCCCCACCATCCCCGCCGTCCCGTCGGCAGCACTGAACTAAGTGAGCACCTGATGCTTCGGGCATGTGATCAGTTAACAACTCAGACAACAAAGACAGTTTGTCCAATGCCCGTGGGTGCCGTGGGCCTTGACTGGGATGGCTCGTGGAGAAGGTGACACAAACAGACCAAGGAGGTGGGAGACCCGTCCCCGCAGGTGCTGAGGGCAGGAGGAGGAGAGGGCTCCCGAGTCGGGCTACACACCTGCACCGCGGCCCCTCTGAGGCCGACCCCACCGGCATCCCCAGCATCGCCCCTCACACGCCCTCCAGACAGACTGCGGCCAAGGGGCTTCCAACTCACGCAGCTGGAATAGCAGAGCCATCCTGTGACCACGAGGCCACCAGCCCGAGGTCAGAGCTGTCCCCCGTGAGCAGCTCCACAAGGAGGAGAGAGTGAAGGGTTTGAAGACGCCACTGAGCCAGCGATGGTGTCCTGCCTGGGACCCCACCACCCCCGTGCCTCCAGACTTCGTTTATGTGAGGTGACGTCCTCGTGGCTTGAGCCACTGGGGACCGTTCTGTGAGCTCCACTGTGTCACTGAAGGCCAGCCAGGGTGCTCCCAGACACCCCATGCGGAAGAAGACAGGTTTGGGGGCTGCCTGGCCAGCAAAATTATTGGGATCAAGGCACCAGCACTCGGCAGAACCCGCAGCTCCAGCTGCCTCCTCCCCTGGACTGACAGGGACATCCTGTCACATCCTGCTTCCTCAACCACTTGCTGCCCAGTCAACACTGAACCTCTGGGGACAGGTCCCATGCCCTAGGGTTATTGCAAAGGAAGTGAGCAGGCGAATGTGGGGTCCCTCTGGCTTCTACAGGGGAAGGCAGATCCCGTCCTTTGTTGGGGATGCCCCCGTGACAGTCAGATGCAGGGGGTCCAGGGAAGGAAGAAGAGTACGTACGGGGCCGTCCCTCACCCGTCCCACCAGCACGGTCTCTGTCACCCCCACCAGCGGCACCGCAGCCTTGCTCGCCACCCGAGCCCGTCCAAGCGCCCTTGTGTCCAGCACCTCCCCTGCCTCACAGAGGACGCGGTTCACACAGTGGACAAACCAACCATGGGGGCTTCCCACAGGCCAGACTGCAGGGCCCGCGCCGGGAAGGACAGGGCTGATTGTCCGTCGTGCCGCAGGACCTGGCCACGTTCCAGAGCGGCGTGCAGGAGGTGTTTGTGGAGTGCCCATCGCGGTGCACGACTGGCCTTGGGAACCCGGACTCCAGGCGGGGCAGGGGGGCCCTCCGGAGTGCTCGCGGCTGGGCCTCGGCCAGCGGGACTGGAGGGTGGCAGTGAGCCAGGTCAGGGCGTGCCTGGCCACTCCTGGGGGCACAGACCCAGGAGCCCAAGTAGGAGGCAGTGGCAACTGCTGGCCTGGGCCCGGCTAGGGGCCACTCTGGGACCTCAGCTTCGTCTCCGGGAAGCAGGCATTGCCCGGGTTCACCTCACAGACGTGTGATCGCATGTGCAAAGGCCCACTGGTCACACCAGGCAGGTGGCCAATGCTCCAGGATTGACGGGGAGCCAGGCTGCACCCACCCGGCAGAGACCGTGCCTTCCACCAAGAAGCCCGGGCCCCGGGGGAGGCCCCCAGACTGGAGGGACCCCAAGGTCCCTCCACATGCCACTCCTGGGTTGGATGAGGATCCCCACTGGTGAGGCACGGGCAGTGGGCACAAGGGCCCTGCCCACTGATGGCTCCTTGTCCTGTCCTTGGCCCCTCCCCCATTTCCTGTAGAGCTCAGAAAACGGAGCAGTAGAAGAGAAGGGGAGGGGCAGGGAGTGGGGGGCCAGCCCAGCGTGGGCGGGACCTGCCCTCCTGCCCCTCACGGCCGCGGGCCTGGGCGCGGCTGTCCAGCGCACCGTGGGCTCAGTGGTCCTGAGAAGGACCCCTCCTCCTGACTCTGAAGCCAGCAGCCCTCTGCCACTCCCCCAGGCGAGCGCCCGGACCGAGGTCGGCGTGGCCGGCCCGCCGCGCCCACGTTACCTTGCCGCACGGACACGTAGCGGTGGTTGGCGGCCACCAGGACCACCTGCGGGTGACTCTCC